GCACTCCAGTCTGGGCAACAGAGTGAGACTCCAACTCAAAAAAAAAACAAAAAAAACCCAAGACAAAACAAAAAAAAAGAGTGGGAAGGGGAGCCGAGTGCAATGGCTCAAACCTGTAATCCCAGCATTTTGGAAGACGGAGGTGAGAGGATTACCTGAGCCCAGAGGTTCAAGACCAGCTTGGGCAACATGTGAGACCTCGCTTCTACAATAAATCAAAAAAATTAGTCAGGCATGGTGGCACGTGCCTGTGCTCCCAGCTACTTGGAAGGTTGAGGTGGAAGGATCGCCGGAGCCCAGCAGGTCGAGGCTTCGGTGACCGGGAGTGTGCCACTGCACTCCAGCCTGGGCTTCAGAGTGAGACTCCAACAACAACAAAAAGAGTGGGATAGGGGATGTGAAGAGCCAGAAAGGAGAAAGAGGACTTGGACGTTATGATTCATATGCTTCACCCCCACCAACAAGGAAGCATTACTTTGTAACTACATAAACAAACAAACAAGCAGCAGCAGCATTGACTTTGAAACCATTGGTTTTAACCCTCACCCAATGTTGGGAGCCAGCCACGGAGGCCTACTGAGCTTTCAGGATCAGGGAGGGCTGTGGCCCCTGAGACCACTAGGATGCGTTCGGGAGCTGTTGACTCCATTCCCTCCTCCCTTTTTCTATTTAGCCAAAAGGATCTCTGCCGACCTAGGCTGAAGGCTCTGTGACTGTGACAGGCATGGCTCACTCTAGAAACTCATTGTTCTTGTTTCCCATGAACTGCGGTTTTGGCTTAGGTATTAGATATAATTCAAACTCAGGTCACATTTGGGAGACTTCAATACGGTACAAGCTTCTTTACAAGATTTAAAAGTATATTTGTAGAATTAGTATATACATATGGAGAGCTGTTTTCAGCTTTAGATGGTATAGATGATTATCTAGAGTTACCAGAAATGGCCCAGCATGAACTTTGAGCCGGGCCACATGCCTAAGGGTCCAGCGTGTACATTGGACTGGGCTGCATTCTTTTAAACCAGTTTTAACTACAATTAGTGTAGGGGTTTTCTACTTATTATAGAAACTGAATTTATTTTACTCATAGAAAGTATTGTAGAATAGGTCATGCTAACGTCAGGGAATTATATTAGTTCAAGCATGATCAAACATGATATTTTGAGGCTTAATGAAAATACAGCTAACTTTAGAAATGTTCCCATTTTCTACTATTGCGGTTTTGGCTTTAGTACAATTCACAGTTTGTATTTGGGTTTTATTTTTAGAAACTTTATTGCTGATGATCAGCTTTATATATTAAGATTAGGAATTAGAAACTTTTATAGAAGTTAAGATATATAGGATTTTAGAATAGCCATTTTGTTAAGTGATGGTAATAAATTTTTCCTAGAAATGGCCCAGTGTGATCTTTGGACTGGGCCACATTCTTTAGGAACTGGTTTGAGCTATAATTAAGAGTTTCTATAGTGTAGGTAGAATTAGCATAAAATAAAAAGGTCTTAGGATTTAAGTTAGTCATTAGGTGTTGTGTATGCATAAGCTTTAGAATTTATTGAATATTAGAATATTATAATGTAGCCGGGCTCAGTGGCTCAGCCTGTAATCCCGTGCCTTGGGAGGCTGAGGTGAATGGATTGCCTGAGCCCGTGGGTTCGAGACCCGCCTGGGCAACTTGGCGAGATGTCATCTCTACAATAAATCAAAAATCAGCTGGCCGTGGTAGCGTGCGCCTGTAGTTCCAGCTACTTGGAAGGCTGAGGCAGAAGGATCGCCGGAGCCCAGCAGGTCGAGGCTGCGGTGGCCAGGAGTGGCCACTGCACTCCAGTCTGGGCGACAGAGTGAGACTCCAACTCCAAAAAAAAAAAAAAAAGAATATTATGACGTTAGAATTGTTGTATTTCTTTTGAGGAACATTAACCAAGCATAAGGAACAGTGAGATAATTTGGGGATTGTCCTTCCTCATGCTTGAGGAAACACCTGGTGGGTGAGGGATGCCCCTCATTCACCTGGCTTTGTGTTCACGTGAGAGTCTTGTGATTTAATCCGTGAAAATTTAGGATAAAAGGCTTACGGGTTGTCCCATTAAACGGCTTCTGCACTAGACAGAGTCCAGTCTCTTTCTTTCTTTCTTTTATTTTTATTTATTTATTTTTTTATTTAGTTTTTATTTCTCTGCAATCCAACTAGACATGGAAGGGAATAAGGAAAATATGGAACCCAAAGAATTGTAGCGAGAGCACAAAGATTACAGACATACTGTGAGCAAATGGGATGGAGGGGGTGCTCTCCTGAGCTACAGAAGGAATGAACTGGTAGTTTAGGATAAAGCACGTCAAATTCATTAAAGTTGTCCACAGTCAGCAATGGTGATCTTCTTGCTGGTCTTGCCATTCTTGGACCCAAAGCCCCCCATGGCTTGCACAACATTCATGCCCTCTTTCAACTTGCCAAAAACCACGTGCTTGCCATTCAACCATTCAGTCTTAGTGCAGATGAAAAACTGGGAACCGTTTGTGTTGGGTCCAGTATTTGCCATGGACAAGATGCCGGGACCTGTATGCTTCAAGATGAAGTTCTCATCAAAAAATTTTTCCCCATAGATGGACTTTACACATTATGGCGTGTAAAGTCACCACCCTGGCACATAAACCCTGGAATAATTCTGTGAAAGCAGGAACCCTTATAACCAAATCCTTTCTCTCCAGTGCTCAGAGCACGAAAGTTTTCTGCTGTCTTTGGAACTTTGTCTGCAAACAGCTCGAAGGAGAAGCAGCCCAAAGGCTCGCCATCGACAGCGATGTCGAAGAACACGGTGGGTTTGACCATGGCTGATGGGAAAAGGCTCAAGGCGGTGGCGTCTGCAAAGCGGCCTCTTCCTTTCTTTTAATATCTATCCCTCTTACAGAATCGCTGACGCCGCCACATCTTTCCAGGGACCCCCAAATCCTACAGGGGCTGGCCCCCCGCAACCCAATACCTGGACACCCTCCTCTTGGAGCTACTCGGGGCACTCAGTGTCCCACCCACAGGGCACAGGAGGCTGTGTTCCCTCTGCTTCCCTTGGGAGAGCAGGTGCTCTCTGCCATCTCTCCCTCCCCTAAGTCCCTCCTCCCCAGCACCTGGGGTTTATATGGGTCCCTCCCTGGAAACACTTGAGGCCTTGGGAGAAAGAGGGCTTAGTCCACAGCAGAACCGCAGGGAAAGGTGGGACCCTCTGAACCCCAAGCCCCACTCTAAGTCTGTCCTAGAGACTTGCTATGTGTCCCCCACCCCAGCTGACCATTCCTGGGCCCGCCCCTGTTCCAGGCCCACGTCTCCTGTGAGGTAAAGCCCAGACCTTTGACCTCAGTCTCCCCCCAACATTCCAACCCTGCAGGCTCTGCCAGACTAGACGACTTGTCTTTCCCTCTCGATGTCCTCAGAGTTCCTACCTCCAATACCTTTCCTGTTTCCATTTCTGCTGATAAAACTCCCAACTCAACTCCATTCTTTTCTCTCCCAGTCTCCACTTGCTGACATCTTATTCTCCTATTCATCCTGCAAGACCCTGTTCACATATTACCCCCTCCAGGAAGACTCTCATGTTTCTTCCAGCAAGAGGTCCTCTCTCTTCCAAGCCTCCACATCTATCTTGTGACTCTATGCCAAGCACTGGGAATGGCACAGACAGTTAATGAGTATTTATCATACTATACAGATTGACTCTGCAGTTTTCCAGATGAGGAAACTGAGACCCAAAGACAGACAGCAGCTGGCCCAAGGTCACCTCCAACATGCAGGCTCCTGCCATCATGGCTCTGTTGCTCATGTCTGTGGGCCTCATGGAAGGACTTCAGGTATGGTCATCCCCTACTGTCCCCACCCCAGCAGGGAGCCGGGCTGTTGGCTTCTTCTGAAGCCTGGAAGGAGGAACAGGGGGAGGAAAGAATGCCCCATGCTTCTCTTGGGGATTGCTTGGGCCAAAGGGGCAGCCCAGATGCTGGTCTTGGGGAACCTGCAGCCAGAAGTTCCCAATCCCCCTCTCCTCCTGGTGCCTTTCTCGGCAGTACAGGCCCCCTCTCCTTGGAGGGCAGAGCTGGATGGCGGGGGTCCCATTCTCCCAGAGGCCCATTCTCAGTGCTGCCGCTCCTGGCCCCTCAGGCCCAGAGCCATCCCATCACACGACGAGATCTCTTCTCTCAAGAAATGCCCCTGGACATGGCCCCAGCCTCCTTTGATGATCAGTACACCGGCTGTGCCGCTGCCATGTCAGCTGCTCTCCCGGATCTCAATCACACAGAGTTCCAGGCCAACAAGGCATACGCGAATGGCTGGGCGCTAGCAAGCAGCCAATGGCAGGAACGCCAGGCCTGGGCACCAGAGTGGAGCCTCAGCCCCACCCGCCTGCCCCCGCCACCCCCCGGCTTCCGCGATGAGCATGGGGTGGCCCTCCTGGCCTACACAGCCAACAGTCCCCTGCACAAGGAGTTTAACGCTGCCGTGCGCGAGGCCGGCCGCTCCCGGGCCCACTACCTCCACCACTTTTCCTTTAAGACGCTCCACTTCCTGCTGACTGAGGCCCTGCAGATGCTGAGCAGGGGCCAGCGCCAGCCCCGGTGCCGCCAGGTGTTCCGAGGGGTGCATGGACTACGCTTCCGGCCAGTGGGGCCCGGAGCCACGGTGAGGCTGGGGGGCTTTGCCTCCGCATCCATGAAGAATGTTGCAGCCCAGCAGTTTGGTGAGGACACCTTCTTTGGCATCTGGACTTGCCTTGGGGCCCCCATCAAGGGCTACTCCTTCTTCCCTGGAGAGGAGGAGGTGCTGATCCCCCCCTTTGAGACCTTCCAGGTGGTCAACGCCAGCAGACCGGCCCAGGGCCCTGCCCGAATCTACCTCCGGGCGCTGGGCAAGCGTAGCACCTACAACTGCGAGTACGTCAAAGGTAGGAGGGCAAGTAGGCTCAGCTCCTGTGTTCCAGGGATACATACATAAATACAGCCACCCAGTGAGGAGGACCAGTCATGTCCACCAGCCCCAGCCCTTCAATCTAGAAAGAGATGCAACCTGTGAGATAGTGCACGTCCCATCCCTGAAGGTGGCTAAGCCACAGCTGGCCACTTGCCTGCTGGGAGGTGAAAAGGGCTTCCTGGCCATGGTGGGGGTCTCTGGCCATTTGAGGGGGCAAGGAGACCTGGTCAAGCTTTTCCCCAGCCTGGAAGCTGGAAGGGAATTATTTCCTAGCCAGAGTGCTGACATCTAGACCACTGTTGCCAGAACGAGCAAGAGCCCCAACCTCAGTTTCTGAGGAGAGCACATTTATCGATGGAACTGGAACTATGTGCGGCCTGTGTGCTTGGCGGGGGTGGTGAGGGCAGGAGGGCAGCCATCGGGTGCTGTGCCCCTAAGGTCCGGTCCAGGCTGTGGGGGATGCTCTTCTTGTCCATCCCCCAGGACTGGCCAGAAGGGGAATCTCATGAGGGTGAGTCCAAGTTCTTTTTCTTTTCTGAGCTGGGGGGGTCCCAATCTGTTGCCCAAACTGGAATGCAGTGGCATGATCACGACTCACCACAGCCTCAATCTCCTGGGCTCAGGCCATCCTTTCACCTCAGTCTTCCAAGTAGCTGGGATTACAGGCGTGAGCCACTGTACCCGACATTTTTTTTTTAACTTTTTATTTTTTCGAGATAGGGGCTTGCTCTGTTGCCCAGGCTGCAGTGCAGTGGTGCAATCTTGGCTCACTGTAGGACCCAGGTTGACCTCCTAGGACCCAGGTTCCCAATCTCTGAAGGGCTGTGGGCTGCCATTCGCAGCTGAGTGAGACCCAGTTTTCACAGTTAGAGGCAGGTATTTGGCCGGACTGCGACCACAGCCAAGATGGGGAAGGCCCTGTGTGGCTTTGGTTCCCACCTCAGAGGGCAGTGGGGCATGCTTGAGGTGAGGAAGATGAGGGAAGGTGAGGAAGACCTACGGAGAACGTCACAGCCTCTCCTTGGCCAGGACAAGCACGAGAGGGAGGTGGGTATGGCTGGGAGAAGTGCCCCAGAGTGGACCCTGGTTTTGATGGCCAGCTCCCTTACGACCCAGCTGTTCATGGGTCAGATCAAACCTAGTCAAGAGGGTTCCACCACGAGGGAGAATTTGGGGAAAATGCATTCACTTTTCCCAGAACAAGTCAGGGTTGGACATTGAGGTCCCTTCATCTCTGAGAGCCCTTGAGGCTTTGATTCTTTCTTGTTTCTTTCCTACAGACAAGTGCAAGTCTGGGCCCTGCCATCTGGATAATTCAGGTAAGGGCCACAGGCACTGGTGGAACTCAGTTTCGGGATGAGAAGGCTGCCCTGGGCTTGGGCCCCTCATTGGAATTTCCCTCTTATGAGGAAAACAACCCATTAACCGGAAAAAGGACACTCTTATAAGCAGACACCTGTGGGGGGTGCTGCCCTCTCCTAGCAGATGTGTGTGTGGGAAGGGTGGCGGCTGGGGCAGCAGAGACACCTCTCCCCTGCTCTGGGTCTTCTCATCCCTTGCAGAAGGTCACCTAGCAGGCCCCAGAGAGACTGGGCTGCACTGAGGCGAGGAAGGGAAGGGCTGCTCCCCGCAGTCCTCCCCTGGGGCTTCTCCTTCAGCCACAGAACCCACTGTTTCTGTTACTCCCATCAGGGCTCCCTCAGACCCACCTTTCAAGGTTGAGCCAGGCCTTGGGTGCTGGAGGCCAGTCTAGGCTCTGATCTTTCTCTATGACCACCCCATTCTTCCTCTGGACCTCAGTTTCCCTAGTCTATTAGGCAAATTGGACCAGATGATCACCAGGTCCCTCTCAGCTGTGACTCTTCTCTTTCCTTGAGCACCTGCTGTGCCAAGGCCTATCTGGGCCACCGTGCCTTTAGGCAGGAATAGGCCATTTCCAGGGAAGAAACAGCAGCTCTTTCCCAAGCTTTGGGGTTCTCCTATCTCCTTCAGGGCTCTGTGAACTGTGGGCAGGAAGGACCCCCAGCCTCCACTGACCCATTCCAGGCCATTCCTCCTCACCACATTGCAATGGTGGAGTGATTGTCATCACCCTTGTTCTACAGATGACAGAACTAGGCACAAACACACAAAGAAGCAACCAGTCCTGTGCCACACAGCTCACAAGGAGTGGAGTCTTAACAGCCTGGTCTAGAGCCAAACACGGAACCACCATACCAGGCTGGCTCCCACACAATCATCTCATTCTACTATGACACACACTAATCTATCAGAAGGAAGTGGAACAGGGAGGACTACCTTCATTACGTAATCAAGTGAGACCCAGAGACAGACGCTCAAGGTGACAAAAGTGAGTTGGCAGCAGAGATAAGGCCAGAAGCTGGGTCTCCAGCCTCCAAACTAGGCATCTTGAGTCTGATGATGTAACTTCAGGCACTAGAAAAGTTTATGATTCCCCTCATAGTCCATCCAGCACCTCTTCTACCAGGTTTGGACAGAGGAACCAAGTTCAGCATCACCAGATCTCACTCAGATCTCAAATTCCAGTTCCACCCCACTCTGCAATGCCTTGTTCGTGGTAGTAGAAGGCAGGGGTTAGACCTGATGACCTTAGGAAGGGGATGTGGGACGCCCATCAGTCACCTCATCTCTGTCTACTTTCTTCCTTAAATCTTTGTTTAAACCAATCAAATTTAGCAGTGGGGGGCTGTATATCAACTTCAGTGACATCAATTGTTATAAGTTGTGAAAACCCACTACCATCGAGCCAGCCCCTCCCTAAATTCTTGACCTTCATCGCTGTTGCCCCCGCATGTTTGGTGTATAAGTTTTTCTAGCTCATACTGCCAATCTCTCCATCTTAATCTTCACGTGCTCACTTTGCTCCTGAATACCTCTCTGTCTCTGTTTTTCTGCAGCCATGGGTCAGGGTCCCCTCTCCACAGTCTGGTTCCTGCTGCTGCTGCTCTGGTTCCTTGTGCTGGGGACCTTTCCAGACAGTCCAGGCCTCCTCTGATGCCTTCCAGACGTTTTGGGCCTCCTCCAGATGCTGAATAGCCCTTCCTGCTGCCTCTGCCCAACCTGAGGATGTTGACCACGTGTGTGCTTTAAGTGTGGCCAAGATCCCTGGTAAAGCAATCTGCAGGGAACTCTGGGACCTTCTCTGGCAGCTGCCAGACCTGCTGGTGGAGAAATAGGAGATAATTTGGGGGCTGAACCCTATCTAGGGTTCTGTGGGTGAGACTCTGAATAGAGGTGGGGGGGATTCCAGGACCAGCAGCAACTTAGTTGGAGACAGAAGAGACTTCAACTCGTTTGGGAGGTGATTGGCTATGGTACTTGCTAGTGTTACTCAAGTGCCTAAAGCTTCTATGTCCACCTAGAAGCTTTCTCCACCTCCTCCAGGAAGCTTCCTTTGACCTCTCCCACCCAACTGGGTTGGGGAGTGTGCCTCTGTGCTCCCCTGGGTCCCTGGATGCTTCTCCACACCATGTCTGCCTGCCATGTCACACTGTGAGCTTCCTGAGGGCAGGGACTAGATCTGAGGCACAGAGTTGGTGCCAGGAAATGTGTGGAAGTCAGAGGAGCAAATACTTGTGAATGGTGGGTCCCTGCACTGCCCCTACCTTGGACACTGTCAAGTTCCCAATGTCAGCATGTGGGAAGAAGTTAGACTGTGCCTAACTCCAGGGCACAAAGAACAGGAGAGATGGAAGAGTGCTAGCTCTCTACTAGTGGCTGAGTCAAATCCTAGTTATTTTCTTGCTAGCAAAGGTGTAACTTCTGCTCTAATCCATGCGTCCTGAGGTTCCTCCCTCTACAGAGACAGATCCAGATCCCCAACTTGCATCATCACACAGACCCCAAGGGTAAGACAGGACATCGAGGAGTGTCAGGCACATACTTTACTATGAGTTGGGGCTCTGGGGCCAAATGCCTGTAGGGCCTTTTGCTCTGGAAACTAGACCAAGAATCCCCAACCCCCCTCTCTGAGTCCCTAGGCAGGGAAGACCCAAGTCCCTACGACAGCAGTCACCTAATAAGGAAGGCAGGAAATGTGGTAGTTCTGTTTTTCTTTTCTTTTTTTTTTTTTTGAGTTGGAGTCTCACTGTCGCCCAGACTGGAATGCAGTGGCCGCTCCCGGCCACCGCAGCCTCGACCTGCTGGACTCCGGCGATCCTTCTGCCTCAGCCTTCCAAGTAGCTGGAACTACAGGTGCACGCTACCACGCCCGGCTAATTTTTTTTATTTATCGTAGAGATGAGGTCTCGCCTGCCCAGGCGGGTCTCGAACCCGCGGGCTCAGGCAATCCACTCACCTCAGCCTCCCAAAGGCGCGGGATGACAGGCTGAGCCACTGAGCCTGGCTAGTTCTGTTTTTCATATAATAAGCCTCACTCTCCCCACTAAAAGCTTTAACATCTAGCATGGGCATTTAATTATGTCCCTCTAAGACTATACTTTGATCTTGACCTTCTTAGAGTTTTTCCTCTTGTAGAATTAGGCGAGTGACTGGACTTCCCTTAGTTAAGGTACATAGAGGAGAGCTCATCAGTAGATCTGATCCTGAAGAGTGGGTGTCCCAGGCTCCTTGGAGCAGTGGGAGAGACTGGCTGGTCTAAGAAGCAGCAACCACATGGCACTGACTGTCTCTGTCTGGAGGCGCTGTGGCTGTAGCATATCCTGGGCCCCAGTCCCTCACAGGGCCTGCACCAGCACCAGGAAGCTCATGACCAGGGCCATGGAGAAGAAGATGCCCAGGAAGAAGCGGTCCATCACACGCGCCAAGTGCTTCCAGTCCTCATGGCAGCGCTGGGCAGCCCGGTGGCTGTGGAAGGTGTTGGCAATGGTGACTACATGGTGCAGTAGTGCTTCCTGGCGGCACAGACACTGTGGTTCATGGCAAGGGCCTGCGTGTAGCCCAGCTTCTCCCTCAGGAGGCTGGGGGTTGGGCGATGACTCAGGTGGCCTGGACTGCCCACAGGGTTCTCCTCTTTCCCGCACACACAGGCCCCGTGCCAGGTGTCTCAGCAGGAGGGCCCGAGCCCAGGCTGGCACTGGGCGGGCACTGGGACCACAGTAGTGCAGGTTCATGATAAGGATGGTGAGTGCCGTTGAGAACGTCACCATGGTCATAGTGGCCATGTAGTACTTCCCTGCAAGAGAGAGAGCAAATTGGGCCCAGAACAAGAACATGTAGATACTGAACTTCACAGCCACCTCTGCGAAAATAGGAACAAGCCCGCCATGGGGCTCTCAGGACTTTCCAGGCCCCGTGGATGGAAGCCGGAAGGAGGTAAGGGCCAAGTTCTCCCGTCCCTCATTCCTACAGTGGATCATCAGAGGCCACCTGCTCCCCTCTGCTGGAGGCTGCACTCACACACAACCCATGAAAGTCACGCTCACTGTTGGGAGCCGGCCACGGAGGCCCACTGAGCGTTAGGGATCAGGAAGGGCCGTAGACCCCGAGACCGCTAGGATGTGTTTGGGAGCTGTTGACCCATTCCCTCTCTCCTTTTCCATTTGGCACAAACTACCAAGAAAAGCTCCAGCTGGCTTTAACAGAAAACTCTGAGACCGGAACGAACACAGCTAACGTAGGAGTCTACTGTTCCCATTTCCCACAGCCTTGGTCTTTTGCTTTATCACAATTTAAGTTTGGCTTTGAGTCACATTGAGGAGCCTTAGGCAGGTCACAGGTTCTCTTGATGCGACCTTTAGAAATTTATAGATACAAGTTTTAAGAAAATAGTTTATATAGACTAAGAAAAATTAAATAACCATTTTATTATAGAAGTGTGGTTAGTTCAGTTTGATTTAGGGGGACTAGTGAAGTTTGTATTAGGCCAGTTGGTGCTAGGAGAGAGTAACCATAGCACCAACTGTTTTATAGAAACCAGTTTGAATTAGTATAGAATAGTAAAAGGCAATATATCATTATGTTGGTTTCGGGTGTAAGTATTGAATGACGTTATGTAGCTATAAACAATTAAGGGTAATAGAAACTGGATAAGAACTTCATGTTTTTCTTTATGTTTAAAAAATGCATCTGCTTGAGAGTGGGGGGTATCTTTGTGTGCACGTGGACCTGTTTATGTACATGCTACCTTTTGTGTAACCATAGCAGTAGGAGTTCTCGTGATGATAACTTTGCAGAGTTTGGGGATAAAAGCCCTGATATTACACCCATTAAACGGCTTCTGGTCACCTGAGCAGGAGTCCAGTCTCTTTCTTTCTCCCTTCTCTCCAGAATAATCGCCGACGCTGCCCCACCTTCCAAGGGACCCTCTAATCTTTCCACAGGGGCCGTTCCCTGTAGCTCACAAAACATTATGGGCATGACCCGGGGCAAGATGCAGACCTTTTCTGCACAACTGGGATAATAAGAGAGTCTGCCTCGTCGGTTTGTGGTGATGCTCACGTGGGTTAACAAACGTCAGGTGCAGCCGGGCTCGGTGGCTCAGCCTGGAATCCCGCGCCTTTGGGAGGCTGAGGTGAGTGGATTGCCTGAGCCCGCGGGTTCGAGACCCGCCTGGGCAGGCGAGACCTCATCTCTACGATAAATAAAAAAATCAGCCGGGCGTGGTAGCGTGCGCCTGTAATGCCGGCTACTCGGAAGGCTGAGGCGGAAGGATCGCCGGAGCCCAGCAGGTCGCGGCTGCGGAGGCCGGGAGCGGCCACTGCACTCCAGTCTGGGCGACAGAGGGAGACTCCAACTCAAAAAAATGAAAAAATAAACGTCAGGCGCTCAGGAGAGCGCTGTCATACAGTGCGCACTCTGTGCCTTTTACTATGATCTGGGGATTCCACGTTCCTCCATCAAGGCCTTGAGAAGAAACCGACTTCTTCCCGCGCCTCGCGGTGAGGAGTGTTGTCCTCGGAAGGGGCTACGGCCTCCCCTTCGGCCTCAACCTGAGGGCTCGTGCCCAGGACGCACGCGCGGCCGGACTTCCCTGCAGCCG